GCAAATGGGAGTTTTCGTACACCAATATTTGTATCTATTTAAGAGCAGGACTTTGAGAGTAAGCAAGGTGAAGTTAGCAGCCTCATTTTCCATAGGCCCCATAAGGAAACTGTCCAGTGAATATCCTTGCATTCTGACCTAAGCGGACTGATTGTATACGTTGCAGTAGAGTCTTGAATTAGAATTCAACACAACAGCACCTTCTTTCTATTCTTAACTACAGCCTTGGAGACAGAAAAGGGTTGCTAGTTCCACTTCTGGAACTTCTGCCTGAGAGAAATTATGGTTTTAGCAAGGAAAAAGTGAGCCATATCTAACTTGTTATTTCAGAATTCAAAGCACGCATTTTTTCTGTGACATTACCACCCACACTCATCCTCCCATAACTTGTTTCTGTGTTCGTTTTTATGTTTCCTCAGGTGCCATGATAAGTGCTACAATGAGTGCAAAAATATAGCTCACACCTGAACAGAATTTAAAATGCTGCATGGAGTGAAGAAAGATAAATACATTAAAAAACTTTTCAGGCTATATAAGTTAAATGCTCAAGAAAAACAGAACCATGATGTTTAAATGCATTAGTAAGTAGAGAGGTACAAATGAAAACACTAAGTCACTAAAGTGACACTGAATGAAGTCTCAGGAGTTAGAAGGCTTGCTAGGTAGTCCATGTGTCCACTCAGTATAAGAATATAGGGGCCAGTATTTTAATGCATGCTGGTGCTGATATTCTGGAGAAATTTTTGACATTACTTAGGAAATTCACCTATTCCTATGAGACTGAAATTCTGCTCTTGGTATGTATCCTAATAAAATTCTCAAAAAGGTATATAAAGCTTCATGTATGAAGATAGTCATTTCTGGTGGCTGAGAGTTCAGTGCAGGTGAAATGTGGGCCGTGTGCATAAAGAAATATTAGGCAGTAGTTAGAAGTACCTACAACAGGGCTGGGGTTAGAAGTAGTTAGAAGTACCTACAACAGGGCAGTAGTTAGAAGTACCTACAACTCAGTGGCACAAGCACCTGCCTGGCAAGCAAAAGGTCTTGACTTTGATTCCCAGTACCCGTCCCCCCCCCCCCGCCCCCGCCCCGCAAAAAGAAGTACCTGCAACAACTTGGAAGGGCTGTAGCAATGGCATGGAGCAATATGGTACAGTGAGATCTATTGTAGAATCCAATGACATAAATTAAAATAAAGGCATAAAAGCAGCACCTATTTTGCAATAATACTTATTAATAAAAAGATAAAAGTGAAGTACTGAAATGTTCTCCTATGGGAAGAAAGGGGAATGGAGGTTGAAAGTAGCAGGGAAAATAAATATGACGGAAGGACTACCTGTGAGGCAATGATTGTAATGTGTCATTAAATAAAGAGTATGTTTAATTCATCCTTCTTTACCCAGAGAACAAAAACCACATAGATTCAAGGGGTTAAGAGATTACAATTTGAAGAGCTTAGGAAATACTTGATGGAAAAAGAGCCATTTGAAATGCATCTTCAAGGCTGGGTAAAATTTTTGAAATTTCCTGAGAAGATGGGGAGCTGATACCAGAAGTTGACAGTGGGATATGTGAAGAAGTCTTCCAGAGACAAAGGGTAGCAAATGTTTGGAATACATGTCAGTGGGGCAGAGCCCATTTGAAAGAGAAGGACCAGTTCATTTTTGTTACATAGGTTACACCCAAAGCAGTGTACTAATAGCCAACAGTTAGTTAGTGCTGTCAGGCACTGTGCTGAGTTCTTCATGCATCCTATCTCATTAATTCTCACAATGGCCCCGTGATAGAGACAGTCTAATCACACCCATCGTTATCATCCTCACCACTGCCACCATCATCTTCTTTACAGATAATGAAACTATGTTTCAAAGAGATAAACTTTCCAGTGACACATCCTGCAAGTGTCAGAGTCATGGCAAAAAGTCAAGCAGGTGTCACTGAGTCATGGCAGAATTCCTCTTTCCAGACACTGGCCCTTTTGAAAAAATAAAGCTGTGTTATCTATTCCTATCAGTGTAGATGTAGAAGGGCCTGGTCATGAAGTGGTTAAAGAAGTCAAACTCAGTGCTGTGTAAGGTTTGGCTTTAATTACCTCCACCACTGATTAGTTTGATAGCAAAAAAGATATTCGAGAAGGAAGCCGCCCATATTATAAAGGCCTGCCTATATTATAAAAGCCTTTCTGCTCATGTGTCTCTCATTGAAATGATAGAGAAGCACTGCCAACATCAAGCTAAATACGGACAAAACATTTATAAGCACCCTTTTAACCCTGTTAGAACTATGCATTCTGAAATCCCTTCAAGTGGAAAAATGGGTAAGAACAAAAGGGGAAAAACTGGCCTTTCAACTACAAAGACTGAGGCTAAAGTGTTAAAGGACCCCATTTATCATGCTGACTTGATACAGTTAAACTTTTAAGCTCTTACGCAGTTAAACATGGGGAAAATAGTGACATCGATAAGTAGGATTCTGAGTCTCAGCACACTGAACTTGAATATACAACTTCTATTGGTCAGTGTTGGAATACAATTTGGTTCATTGGAAATAAATAGCTAGGTGAACATTTAAGCCAATCACTATGGCTATTTCATGTTTGAGAAAAGGATGTTTATAACATGAGCAAACAGTTAAGTATAGAAGCCCACCAATGGAAAACAAAAGCCAAAATGTTTAGAAATGGCTCTTAGTGACAGACCCCTGTGAACTAAAGTTTCAGCAAGTCTGTTTTTTATTTATGCCTTCCTCCTTCTTGCATCTCTACCCATTTCTCAAATTCTTCCCTTGCTATTTACACATCAAAACATCTGGGATTTGGCTTCCAGCACCTGCTATAGGAAGCTGGATTGTACTGTTGAAAATATGCTTTTAAAGGGCAAAATTTACATTAATATCCCTTCTGTAGTTCAAAAGAAATATGTTTTAAAATCTGGTTCTTCTAAACAAATATACATCTTAAAAACATCAACAACAAAACAAATATGCAAATCTGAAGGTCTTGATAAAAGCGTTTTTTTAAAAAGAGAAGGCTACAACACATAGACTAAAAACAGACTCTTCGTAGTTTAGACCTGGAAGACTCTACCGCACATCTGTTTAACATCTTGCAGTTTGAAGAACTCTGCCTTGAAAAACCTTCTGCACCAATGACACACAGAATAAAAGGTTATGTTATGACTTTCAGATGGAAACCTGCAAAAGTTTATCTGCTGGACTGCACCACTAACTCTTGCTACTTTTGATTCTCTTAGAAAGATTTTTTGGCTTGTGAAATATAATGAATTTTTAAAGTTTATATCAGACAACACCAGAAAAGAGTTTTTACTTGGAGAGAATGGACATGCTATGGAATGAGTCACATGTTTTAGTTGTGATGTCCAAATGGAACTAAAAGTTTTTAATAGGGATTTTATAGAGTGCATTTTAGTGGTGAGCCTATAAGCCTATATACTGAGTTGTAAACAAAAGCACCACATTTGAAATATGAACATGTTACAAAACCTCCACTGCTGTCAACATTTATTGAAAGTTAAATTGAAAGCCCAGGAGCCTACTTGTTTCCAGGTATGTATACAGAAAAATGCACTTATATTGATGCAGCAAAAATCATACTTCTGTATGTGAGTGTGTATGTGTGTACGCGCGGTATCAGGGAACTGAACCTAGGGCCTTCACTTTGAAGTATGTGCCTAGCCCTTTTTTTATTTTGAGAGTATTGTACTAAGTCACTAAGTTGCCCAGGCTAGGTTTGAAGTTGTGATCTTCTTGCTTCTGCTTCTCAGGATGCTGAGATTACAGGTGTGCACCCCCATGCCCAGCTAAAAGTCATACTTTATAAGGAGGCATTCTGGTTTGGAATACTACAACAAAAAATTAGGAATCCCTTTTGAGGTCTGTTTGCTATCAGAATCATATCATCTTTGTTTAACCTTTGTGTGGCTCTAGGCAAGTTAGAAAAGAAGGGTAGTTTCTATACACTCCAGTTCAACTGTCATGGATATATGCATTTTTTTGATCTGCAGGAAGGAAATATTGTTTTTTTTCCCCCCCTCAACTGCCCAGGAGACTTCCTGCCAGCCTCTTGCCACTGTGTCCTGGCATTTAGCAGACACATCACAGAAAAGCTGTTGGAAGCTCATTGTTCAAGTGGGCGTATGAGGGAAGGAGAGACAGTGTTTCCTTCAGAAACACAGACACTCTCTGACCCAGACCGAGGGAGAATCTGCTCTGCAGAGGGCTCCCTGCAAGGGATTTTCCATGTGTGTCTTATTATGCCAAAGCCGACCGTGGTGACAAGTTCCACATTAAATAGCTATCTGTCTTCCCTGAAACTTCACATTCTCTTCTCCTTGTAGGGAAAGTGATGTAACACGGCATTGCTTTTGTCAACAAGAATCATTTAATTAGCAGGTGTCAGCTTTCCCTTGTGGACCATAGAAACTGCATCCATGCCACTCAGATACCATCACAGACATTGGTTACGTAGTGATTACCTGTGCTTTCGGTGACAGTAGGGTGCATATACCAGCATCCTTAGTAGCCAGAAGTTTTCACTGGGGAAATAAGTTTAGTATACTGTTATTAATTTGCTTTAGAAAATAGCTGCAGAGTCCTCAAATAAGATGTAGCAGAACACATGGTCTTCGTTATTCAATAACTATCCTTCTGCAAAGGAAATACGGTCTATTTCCCATTTGAGAAGGAGCTTACAAAAACTAGTAAATATGGAAAGAGGGCTACACATGTACTATAATTTTATTGAATCATTCTCCTCATGCTCTTATGTGTCCCTCCCCCACTCCAAGTCTCCAACACACTCACACAACATGTCCACATAGATGTATTCCCAGCTGGTATTAGCATAATCATTACCACGTTATAAAAAAGCCTGTAGAAAAACAGCCTGAGATATTTAGATGGCTTGTTTTATAAATGAAAGGAGGTGGGGGTAGAGAACTAGATATTTTGGGAACAAATTCTTCTTTTTCCTCCCTCTTTAGAAAATAATAGCTTGGCTCTTGTAAGCCTCAGATGATAGCATGGACCGAGGAGGTGGAGCTGAAGAGTCATGACATGCTTGATATTTCTGGATGAAGGTCAGCGAAAGGTTCTCCGTGGAGCCCCTCCGCTGGAAGAAGTCCTTTGATACGGAATTGTACAGCCTTTTTCTTTCCTACAGGAGTGCAATAGGAAAACATTTTCCTTCTGGTGTCATACAGTTCCTGTTGGTCAAGATCTCCAGCTCGTTTTTTCTTCTCTTGTACTTTCTCCTGGAATCAAGTAGATGAGAAAGCCGGACTTAATGACTAATTCCAAGTTCACTGCCAAGACCAGAAATATAGTATCATGTAAAATGTGCCCCTACCTGAAAACTTCATGACATTAAATGCTGTTAGATCTTGGCTTAGTTGTTAAAAGAATTTAAGACAAAGGAAGGAAAATAATTTTATGAAAGTAAGAGCTGGTCCATGTGTTCAGGTTTTAACAGATCGTACCACAGGCTGAAAAGAGATTAAATTTACCTTTCTTACTTCCCTCCTTTCCTTCCTCCCCTCCCTTCCCGTCACCTCCCCTCCCCCACTTCCTTTCCCTTCCCTTCCCTTCTTCACCCTCCCTTCCACTATTTGATTTTTATGGGAAAACAGAGAATAAATTTATTAACCATGTGTATTTTCTTTTAAACTTCTGCCTCAGAGATACCCAGAGAACTATATCACTAGAATAAAGATAACTAGAAGTGGGGTTGAGGCATACATTTACTAAGGGATTATTACTTCTTCCGTGGCCTAGAAATATGTTTGTGGGATTGTCTTAACTTGATCAAATACATTCAACCATGTGTACTTCTAAAACTAGACTTTTATATATTAGCAATCACATGAATCTCAAAATTTGGGAAATTAATCTTCAAGACACCATTTAAAATCTTTCAATTTTGACAGTAGGATTTGTATTTGGAATTTAACCTGGCCTTTTCCCCCAGGGTAGTTCAGACTCAGATGTAGTTATCACTATATGTAGCAGACCTATCATAAGGCCTGTTTGAACTACTGGAAACTCACTTTAACCTGTGTGGAGTATCTTCAAAGTTCATCCAGTGCCGAAGTTATTTAATGTTTTATTATAAATAAATTATCTGATGTAAAATGTGTTATTCTCATAAATTGGCTTTTTCTATGATGAAGAAAGTGAATTAAATTAAAACAGGCTTATTTCAAAGTAATGTGCCTATTTTTCCATTATATGTTTGCAAAGTTAATAAAGTAATTGATATTGTGAAGACTTTGCCAGAAGTCAGGGCTTTTCCATGGCTCACAATTAAACCAAGATGTCCAAAAAGCTTGCTTAATGTATTATTTATTGAGCACTGATGGAAGTTCAGTGTAGTATATGACAACAAAGTCAACCCAGTGCATTCACAGTTTGAATAAGAGCCTCTGAATATTGTTTATCATTGATGTTAAAGTTTTAAATTTATAGGACAAAGAACCATCCTGAGGGATTTATGCTCTCACATACTCATATGATGGATGAGAAATCAGAGGTTTAGAGAAAGGAAGTGACCGACTTTATTCTTTTTTGTCCACATTCTGTAGTGTTTTTCTGGCTGGATGCTTAACCTCTGACCTTCCCCAACTACGGTCCAATCTGCATACCACAATATCATTAACCATCTTTAAATGTGACTCTTACCCTTCTATATGGGTCAAATTTCTCTAGAGAAACAAATCAATAAGATATAGATACATATCTAGCTATCAGATATATTATATATCATTCTGTACAATAAATCCCACATAGATTACATGTGAAATAACAAAACTTGTAGACTATCTCAGATTCAGGCACATAAGTTATCACCATGTGTAGCAGACCTATGATTAAAACTGGTTGGTCTACCAGAACCTTGCTTTCACCTCACATATTAGATTTAATATAAGTAATTATATATATTTAAAATTATATACTTCTATACATATGATTTATTTTAGGGAATTGGATCATATAATTGTGGAGTTCCCTAAGTCTCATGACTTCTAGTTGGCAAACTGGAGAACTAGGAGAGCTGGTGGTATAGTTCCAGTGCGAGACTAGTGCTGCTGCTCAAGAAATCAGGCAAGCAAAGTTACTTCTTACTCAGACTTTTTGGTCCCTTCTGGTTTTCCACTGATTGGATGAGGATCAACCACTCTATGGAGGGTAATCTGTTACAGTCAAATTCAGATGTTTCAAATTCAATAGCAGCCTCATAGACATACCCAGGTAATGTTTGATCAAATGTCTGGGTACCTTCTGGTCCATTTGACTTGAAACATAAAATTAATAATTACACTTTCCTTAAAAAATAATAATACCTATAAGTTTTCCTTTTCTTTTTGGTAGAACATTTTATACACTTCAAACCTTTTTTTGTAGACTTACTCCTATTTCAGACAAAGAAATGAGAGAGTACTAATTTGCTCTGAAGTACTAAGATAATCCTTCAGTCTTCATTGTTATGAAAGAAGCAAATGTCATAAAATATACATCATAGAGATAAAAAGAAAGAGATAGATATTTTCCTTAATTCAGAGATCAGAACTAACCTCTACAGAGTTTTGGATTTGTGTGTGTATGATAACTTTTATAAAATGTTATACATAATATATATTCTAATGTATTATTATTTTCTCTTCTCTCACATATACCTATAAAAGGATTCTTTTTAAGCATTGCCCAGTATTTGCCTTAAATTCCTTAATTTATTTAACTAATCCATTGCTGAATATTGTTTCCACAGCTGCATTTGTAGACTTTTGTGTGCATCTGGTTATTCTTTTAGAAAAAAAACTCTTACAAGTGGAATTGTTATTTTCCATATTACATCAGCTATTCATGATTTTGCTTCATTTTTACATATATTACTAGTCCTATTTTCTATAATTTTGTAACATCGTCCATTGTAGTGACCTCAGGTGTACAGTCTTGTATTTTTCACTTATGCTAATTTTAATCCTCCAAGAAAGCTGTTCTCCACTTCTCTGCTTCTTCTTCTTTTTAAAGACTTTATTTTAGGTAGGTTTTTAGGTTCACAGAAAAATTGAGTGGATGATACAGAGATTTCCCATATTTCCTTTCTACCTACACATGCATAGCCTTCCCTATTGTCAGCAACCCCCATCTGAGTGGTACAATCCATGACACTGACGCATTGTATTACCTAAAGCCTACAATTTACAGTGGGGCTCACTCTGAGGGTTGTTCAGTTTGTAGGTTTTAACTAATGTATAATGACACATCTCTCATTGTAGTATTGTACCAGTTTTACTCCCCTAAAAATTCTTTGTTCTCTGCCTTTTTATCCTTCTCTAACCTCCAATTCACGTCTACTTTTCTCTCCGCTTCTTGGGGGAATTTTCTACTTTTGTGTTGTTACGGAAAATAGGAAATAATTGATTTGTCAGTGAAACAATGTAGGTTGACTATTTTCAGTTCACTAGACTAAAATCTAAAGAAGCTGCTATGTATAGTTCCTATTCACTTTGGGGTTTTGAATGGGTGCAAGACAATTTAAATGTGAATTGCATGTTTCTCAAACTTCCATCAATTGCCGTAAATCATCAAGCACTTTGTGTAGGTCATTGTAAAGTCATATTGCAGTGACATGCAAGAGATGCTATTTCCTCATGTAAACATACAGCTAACAATACAGGTCATATACAAATTATTTTGAGTCTAGAATAATTATGCTTGTCTTTGCACGACATTCTATAAGAAAACCATTTTATTTAACTAGTGACATGGATGCTGCCATTTGCAGTCAGTGAACTGTATGTACTTTTATTTAATATTTGGTCTGATGATGTAGACTTTGTCTAAGCTTGACTGATGAATATGAATATGAAATTTATATTAAAAGTAGATTTTTAAATAATACCTAAGAATAAACATTAATAAGTTTTGGAGTGATGAATAAATTCATTTGAGTATGAGATTAGATTAAGTGTTTAAGAAACGCAAACTTTTGTCTGAGACGTTCTCTAGGAGAAAGACGTTAGGGACAAATAACAATGTACTTCTGCCTAAGATGTTTGTTATTTAGTTGGAAATGTCGATGTGCGCAATTCTGTACTATATCATTTTTCGATGATTATGCAACCAGGCATTAACATAATTTGGTTTGGACATAAGGGCAAGAACAGGTATTGTGATAAAGAGGATCAAGGAAATGTTCAATGAGTGAGAGACATTTGAGCAGGGACTTAAAGGAAAAAATAGGAATTGGCTTGGGAGTTGTGAAAAGTGAACTTTAAGTGTAAGAACAGCATGAGGAGGCAGCACAGACATGGGGACAGATAATTGTTTTTGGACTATTGAAGAGTCTTATGCACAGGAGAAAAAGGAAGATACAACCAGAGAGGTAGGTTGAGGTGAAACTCTGGGGATACCTACTGCTGCTCTATAGCAGTTCAGAATTCATGTTATAGGCAGGAAAGACAGCCAGGAGAGGACTTTAAGCAGAAGATAGCATGGATAGGCTTGTTTCTTAGGATAATTACTCTGACTTCATCACAAAAGATGGATTTTTAGGGGCCAGACACTGGCACTCTTCCCTTCTCCTAGTCCCCGCCCCACTTCTCCTTTCTCCCTCTCCCTACAAGTTGGCAGTCTTAACAAACAATAGCTCCAGATGACTATCAACAAGATAGATAAGTTGTTTTGTGCCATAGTGCTTTTGTCACCTTGTGCAGAGACACATAATTTAAACCTACCTGGATCATGTGGATGCCTTGGAGCTTTCAGTACTTTTATAAATATCAGTACCTTCCTTACATCTTCTCATCTCTTATTTGTTGTATCTGTTCTCATACTGAGGGCATGTGTGTGTGTGTGTGTGTGTGTGTACTGTTGCTAATGGTGCTAAGTATTACCAGTATCTAATAATGTAGACTTCCTCTTCTTGGGAACATCCAGTCTTTCATGAGATTCTATTTGTCTTCTGGTACAAGTTCTACACTATCCCACTTCTCTTTTGGACAAGAAGGCAGGAGTAGGGGAAGATCCCACCAAAAACTATTGATTTCTGTTTGGGTAGAGGAGAGCTTTTATTGACCCCCACCTTTGCTTACATTGAGGCATACACACAGTATCCTTTTGGGTTCAGATATAATTTTAGAACATCTTTAAGCTATCTCTCACAAGGCTTATAAATGGAGAAGTGATTTAGTTAAATCACAAATAAGTATACAATCTAAACCAGAAAGAGCAATAAATATGTATTGTGTTCTCTCATAATAAACATTGATCATTTAGGCTGAAGCATATCCATTCCTTTACTTTGCATCACCTGGGAACGCTATATATACTTGCTTCTGTGGGTGGGAAGACATGATAGAGGCTTGGTCCTGTCGATGGGATGCCATTTGTCCTTGATTCTGTCTGTGAGAAGTGACTTTCTGATTGGAGAGACAAACAGAAGCATGCATGAATGATGATAGTGTGTTTGAAGAGCTATCACACTGTAATTATATGAAAACAGGACTTTGATGAAGAGTGATCACCACAGGAAGATGCTTTGAGATAGTAGTGCTCAATTAGCCAATATGAGTGGCTGTGAAGGTAGATTGTTAACTAGATTGGATTGGGATCTGTCCAGTGGATTGGTGGAGCACACTTTGGGTGTGTGTTGGGGGGGTCATGGAGATATGACCTTTGCTATGATATCTAGTCCCTGGCCTCTTCCTCTCTAGCACTGTTCCTCTGCTCTGCTCCCTGGCCATCATGAACTAAGCATCTCTGTTCCACCATACCCTCTGCCATGATGGTCTTGCCTTGGAGCCAGCCGATCATGGACCGAATCCCCAGAAACTGTGAATAAAATAAAGCTCTTCTTTTGATTTGTTCGTGTCAAGTACTACGTCCTAGAATTGGGAAAGTTGACTAAAACAGAGAGAAAGGAATAGGGGAGATTTCACAGGTCATTACACCTGGCTGTGTACTATAAGAGGCTTCTAGGCACCTTACTCAGAGTCTATAAGAATCATTAGATTTGAGCTATGACATCTTGGAGGGCTTTATCAATCTTTAAGGAACCAGAGTTGTAGAGAACAAAAGCAACTATGAGGTCCTGGGGAATTGTTTTTAAGAGGTCATAGGCCACCGCTCCCCAAGTTGGATGACACTTTCCCTTAACAGTGTGACAGCAAAGCAGGAACATCTGTTTCTATGTGACTATACTGTGAATACATTGAAAAGGACAGGCTGTGGTTTAGTGCAGCCTGTGACTTGGGAGGAATTTCATATGGAGAGAATTCTGCTCTGTGGTTCTGAAATTAGGGAAAAGAGGAAGTTTCTTTTATGACTGTGGCATAACAGGCCCCTCTGCCCTCCATACCTCTTCCTTTCTCTAATTTGTAAACATTTCCTGACTACATTCACGTTGCATGCTTTTTGTCATAAGTTACCCGACGCTCACATAGTTAAGGGTGGGGATGCTCTCCCTGAGCCTGGAGCCAGGTCTCTGCACCCTGCTAATAGATCACACAGGGCCTGCTGATGGCCTGTGAGGCCAGCTGGAGTGGCTCATCCCTGTGCTCCTCTGTCATGATTTCTGTGCATTGGGGGTTTGCCTAGTTTGTGCCACTCCTTTCCTTTGTCAGCCTGACTGAGATCAAAGTACAAAAAGAATACATAAATGATAACCTAGAACTAATCAAACACAGAGGCTATGGTGTGGGTGAAGTCTTCTATCACACTTTCCCCAAAGGCACAGAAGGAAGGGGGAAAATTATATTTAAGTATAGCTTGTCTTGC